CCCCCCCCCCCCCCCAAGAGAAAGAGAGACATTCACTGATTCAATGCAAGATAAAGTTATGCATTGTCCCACAAGACTCCCATGCATAGGCAGAAACAGTGCTTTAGAGATATTTCACTGCTTCAGACCACAGGTACAGGCTAGCCAGGCAATGCCTACTGTCAGGTTCTCTGGTTCATGCGCCATAAATCAGCATTTCAAGCTATTAATACTACAGCAGCAACATGTACGTGCAACATGTTCTTTCATCAAGGCATGACAGACACAAGGTTTCTAGGACAGTATGAACTGGGAAATTAAAAGTGGAACAGGACAGCAGGAATCTCAGTCTCCTGCATTTTCTTCCAAATCCACATGCTGCAGTCATCTGCACTATTATCCTGGTCTCTAGGCTTACCCTAGAGAAGAAACAATCAATCGGTCACATTGCTAGCTTTACCCGAGTCTTTCCAGAGGCCAGCAAAAACAAGTAGCATGATTTTCCTACACCCTCACCTTTATCTTGGAAGATCTTTCTGGTCCATCATTAGGCTCAAATCTTAAATGGACAAGTCATATTGGGAGCAGGAACCATGTAGACTTCTTGCCCTTCCTTTTTCACCCCCAAAATGCCCCTTGTATCTGTCAACACTGAGTAACAGCCGTACCACGTACACAACTAGTTAGCAAGAAGTAAAGTACAGCCCTTTAGGTGAAAAGCAAGGCACCACCACAGGCAAAATTTCTCACCTACCTGATCCTGCTGTTGATAGAGGAGATTGCAGATAGACAGGAAGAAAGACAAGAAAAGTGAAAGACAACAGTTAAGGGAAAAAAAAAGTTAAGCAGTTGAACCATGTATACTCTTGCCATAAAATAAGTCTTGATTGTGATGCCAACAAATTTGTTTCTATTCAAAAGAATCTAGTTCTTGATCTTTATCAGCGCAAGGGTAACTGTTCATTTGATAGCAGCATATAGCCAGGCCAGTGCCCCAGCATGCACCAGCCCTGCAATGGCCCTGTGGGAGGGAAGGGCATAGTCAGCCCCCCCAATTATATTTTCTTTTGCCACCTATGCCAAAAATCCACAACTAAATCTAAAACAGGCCCAAAGCAAGCCAGTTTCAAATGTTTGAAGCATGCTGAACACAAAGTCAAGCAAGCTAAAGGAATCTTTGACTCTGTGTTCAAGTCAGTCATGGGTTCTATTTAATGTGTGTCTGCTAATGACAGTTTCTCCAGACACAACCTCATTTAAGTTGAGGTACTGCTCGCACATCAGCAGAATATACTCAAATCCCCCCCCTCGACGTAAAAGTTGCTATTTTTACATCATCTTTGCAGGCAACACTCATGCAAGTACAACATTTATGGTCTACTGCAGTGGTATCCAACTTGTTCTCCAGGCTGGATGAATCCCATATGCAGGGTCACTTCATGTGGCTCACAGGGCTGGAATTTGAGGATGACAAGATTAACTGCTGCGGGTCCTGGAGATACTACAGCCACAACTGCCAAGTTCCTAGCTTTGTGCTCTGGATCCAGCCTGAGGGGCTCCTCACAAGTCTAGAAATTTAGTGACATGACAAGTGGCAGTTCTGGGAGCTGCAGCAGTTAAGGCTGCAATGCTGCCAAGTTTCTGGCCCTATGAGGAACCCTTTGGAGGTAGGAGGGGGGCACATATCGGTCACCCTGGTCTGCTGCTCCCATTCAACCCCCAAGATGCATTAGAACTTCAGAGGCCTATAGCAACAGAAAACATTCTTTTTAGGTGGATGCACCATATCAACTTCATTTACCAGTTTAATGTTGATCTTTCTTATAGGTTGACTTTGTAACTGGTACATCTGAAAAGTATTTTTGGCATAGAGAGGCATTAGTCAGGATTGAGCATACACAGAAGAATATTTTAAAACTTTCTTTTAGAGCTAGCAGTGCATGAAACAACACACAAAGATCTTTAGACTGGCTGTGACAAGCTGATGGGAAACTATTTGAGTCAGATTTTAGGTCTCTAAATATACAATTACTTGGCTAAGGTCACAGGCACACGAACAAGTTACCATGAGGTAAGAGGGACTGAATTTACTATGATGCAGCTGCTTTCAGAGTAATTACTCATGTGGGTATGCTTATTCTATGATACATGGAAGCTAATTTGTTGCAGTTTAGCATACAATGAAGCCTGGCTAAACTACAATGAGCTAGCTTCTATTTGCCAGATTATGAGCATGCACTGGGCAGTCACTGCAGAACAGATGATGCATAATGTGGTAATTAGGCCTAGGCCCCAAATGTCAAGTCTAATTAAAAAAAGTAAAGGACGAAACAAGCTGACACCCAAGAGTATTCTTTGCTGTGTGTAGTTTCTATTAGCAACTAATTGTGGAAAACATTTAAAGTATTAATATTCAGAAAGAATATGGAGGAGTCCTAGTAGACTCTAGTCATGAAATTAAGAGGGGGGGGAAAACTTAACATCATGCTGATCTTACTTACCATGTGCATCATCATTTGGATAACCAAGTCTGAATACTCAGAGATGTAGTTCTTGCACTGCAGAACGAAAAAAAAGTTCAGTAAAATGCAAGAAAACAAACTTTAGCCATGTGTGTAATACTGTTATATAGAGATCAAATAGGTTGGGAAATTCAAAGTGGTGTGTCCAACTAATCTGGTTCCTTGCACACATTTAATATTTTGGGATGCTGTTACCTTTCAAGCTTGCTCTTTAGTACATTGTGGCACTTTAGATCATTCCCTGTACCCTAAGGAGTTTCCCCAATTTGCGCATCATGGTTTTCCTTCCTCCTAATATTCCAGAGGAAAAAAAAAAGTTACCACCCCTCCACCCCCCAACACAGCAATATTTCACTTGACAGCATTTATCTTCAGATAAAGTTATCATACCCTTAAGATAAGCTTTGCACAATATTTAGATGCTTGAAAGAGATATCTTAAAATTCTAGGAGGGAAGGATACACATTCTAATCCAAATAAAGGTGTATGGTTTGCAAGTACTGGGCCATTAAAAAGTAAGCCACACTTCACATCATCTCCCTTATTTCTACCAATAAATCCAATTAAAAATTGACAACCACTAAGTCGGTTTCATGCCTCCATTATGGACAGTTCATTTAAACAAAGTTATTTTGTTACCAGTTCGCCCATGCCAGGTCCCAAATGTTCACATTCCTCCTTGACATGAGCAATCAAGGAATTCACAAAAGAGGAGTTGGATCTCACAGCTTCCTGAACATCAGTGACCAGCTTAACACAGTCTTCACATACATTCCCATTCCCCTATACAGAGAAAGAAAGAGAGAGAGAAAGAAAGAGAGAGAGAGAGAAAGAGAGAGAGAAAGAGAGAGAGAAAGAGAGAGAGAAAGAAAGAGAGAGATTGAGATTCATGTTGCATAGCAAGCTAGTGTTCTGCCAGCTTCAGCTACTGCTACTAAAATAAGTTAGCACACTTAAGCCAAATACTTAAAAGAAAACAAACTCTGGTATACTCTGACTAACTGAATTATTGACAACTGTAGTAAGCTTTCTGAGGACCAGCGACTAGAGAGGAATGATGCTCCAGCTTACAGTATGAAGCCTGATGGCAGTTAAAATACTGAGGATCAGCAATCTTGGGTTTAATTTAGCAGTGTGGAGGGGAGCACTCACTATAGCAGTCACAAGT